CATGGAAAAAATCGGGGCTGGGGGAGGGCCATGGAAAATTTGTTTTACGTATCCGTCGTACGATCCTACGTTCCTAGCTCTGAAAATGTGCAATGCTTCTCGGAAAAGTGTCCCTCAAAATGCAGGAAATAATGTTCAGAGGGTCAACTTTTACACATTTTTCCCGAACTCTCGCGCCTTCGGCGCTCGACAGAATCTTACGGCTTACAAAATTGAGATGACGGACGGGAAAAATCAGGCTGGCTAGAACACTGATTATTGAAAAATATCAACAAAAAAATGAATACTAAAGCATGTAGGTCTAAGACTAGCACATTAACCAAGAAACACCGGTTCTTTTACAGCAGGCGACGCCCTGACGCTCAAATCTGGCCTGCTTTGTGCTGTTGTACTAAAACGTGATTTGTTTTAAGTTTTTTTTACCATTTTTACTTACCGTAAATTCCCGACTAATGTACGTACTTCTTAAACTTTTCAAAATCCCCAAAGTGCCTCGGGCCGTCGCCAAAGTCGGGGTGCGTACTTTATTTGAGATTTTCCCCCGACAAATCCGTGGACGACCCAGGAATATAGCGGAACACCGGCACGGGGAGCTTGGAACGAATTCGTCCCTAGCATGTTTAGATAACAATATGGACGAGTGGAAATAAAGTTAACCTTCAATAAATGAACATATTTCCTCTGACTATCGTCGATATTTACACCAAAGTTCCGGTAAAAGAAGTCAAGTCAAGCAGTGCACGGTAAGAAAATGTAGGTCACTGAATGGCGTTTGGCGCTTTGTCATGCCGACCGGATCGTTCGTCAGCCTGTCGGTGCCAATCTCAGTGGACCCCCGCCGAAAATTAAAAAAACAAAAAACGTAAGTACATATACAATATTGCAAGATGGTTTATGAGTAGTAATATTTGAAATGATCCGCAAGCCATGAACGTTCTTGATCGTCGTAACGTAACATATGATAGCGTAATAGTTGTACCTGATGGTCACTTCTAATGCACTTCCGGCTTGAGTTGAACTCAGAAATATTCAACAAAGATTATGCCCATGCCGTTTCAAAGGTTTAGCTAACTAACAGAAATTGTTAGCCATGTTTCATTTCGTATCACAAAATCTTTTTGAATCTTGATAAATGCCACTTTGTAGCGGGCTATAGCTGCCATGCACGACGTGAAAATGCCAGCTAGATGTACTTCTACCCGGCTGTTGCAAACTACAATGATAGGGGCGAGTTATAAATGTAGTCTTTAATAATAAATAATGAAATCTTAACCGCCGGCCGGTGGGCGGGTCCAGTCTGTACGCGCCGACAGGCGTGGCGCCAGTGTTCGTGCCGTTGCCTTGGCATTGCATGGAGTACCCCAACTAGACCGGGAAGCCACGTGCACGTACTTAAGCGTGATCGGCGTGAATAAGGGCGTAAATAAACTTTGAATCATGCAACGTCCGTTCTCTTGTTCACGCCGAACTCTAATTCCCCAAAGTACACCTACAACTGAAAAACGAAGAGAGGGTCGTGGCAGCGCTGAGGACAGCGAACCTGGGCCCCGAAAAGGAAGTATTTCTTTCCTCTGAACAGACTGTAACGTTACATTATAAGTTTTACGAAGTGCAAACGTATACATATTTGAAGTGTACATTCTCTTTTGATTTTTGTGACAAAAACATATCTCACATTACGAGAGATTATTTCAAACGCAGTCAGACATTTCACTCTCTCCTGTTCGGAATCGCAAGTCCCAGTAGCCTTTTGTTGTTGCTTTATTTTCGGTGTCAAATTTTTAATTTAGTAGCACTTCTACGTCCACAGTAGCATCACTACTCCGCCCAGATCTCCGCCTCGACGATTGTTTGCTCCCCTTGGGTCGATGGGCGGGCGCTATTAAAGAAGTGTTCGGTGCATTTCGTACAGTAAAGAACAACAAAGCTACGTACTTCTGCATCAACATTCAGCTACCCCCGGTTACGGATAAAACAAATATTGGAATATTGTTTTTTTTTTCACAAATCTTTGTTGGCCGTTGCTTGATCACCAACATTCTCCGGGATCCAAAGCTGTACGTTTCGCCGCACTCGCATAATCCTTCGATGCGGTGGTGACGTCTTGCAAATCGGCTGCGGCCAGCGGTGAATCTAGCCCCAACACCAAACGTTTCCCGCTACAATACTGTAACCAGTACCACACAACCCCGTAGTACACGGCCTAAATCTATTTTTAAACAGCTTTTTTTCTAGAACGAACTGTCTTTTATTAATAAGACATACATACAGGTCCACAGTGGCACCGGCCGTGCGTACAAGGAGTGCGTATTTCATTCGAGTTTTTCCATTTTACGTTTCAGACGGGAATATTTGTCTCCCGGCCCACCAGCCCCAAATCGGGGTGTGCGTACTTTAATCGGGATGTGTACTATATTCGGGAAATTACGGGTACCTGTGGGGGGAGGGCCAAAGAAAAAAATTTGAGATTGGGGGGGAGGGCCATGGAAAAAGTTTTGACCGGACTTCCAGCGCACCAGCCCTCCCCCCGGTAAATATCGTACAGTCCCTTACCGTGCCTGTACCTAATTAGGCGCGCCTGGAACAGGCCAAATTCCAGCAACAGTTGCGGTAAAGCACCGCGAGTGTTACTACCGCCGGCCAGATAACCAGGATATCTGCTTACAGAACCTCTGCTTCCAGACAACTGCCTAAACCTACGGCCTATTCCACAGGATTGTAAAAGTAGGGATGTTTCTAAAATATGCATTTACTTCAATATCAAAACAGCTACGGTAAAAATAAAAAGACGTGCATCATCCCGGACATAATGCCACACCACATGCGAAATTACACAGAAATGCGACGTACGGAAGAATGCGTTTTGACTGCGAACATCTTCCAAAAAACTTGGCATCTCTTAACCATGGGCAAAAACATCTGGAACCACTTATAAAAACCACCCCGTATCTGCATGAACTTTTTTATCCCCACTGCTATTCCAAACAACGCGTTTTTCTGGACCATTCCAATTCGCCTCGTAATTGTAGGGGTGCGTCTGCGATATTACATTGACCGCGAAAGCAGCAACGGCAAAAATACACATTCGTGCATCAACACGGGCATGCCCGCAGACGGCGTATAAAATTGCATGCCGATTACACAAAGAGAACCCAGTGTTTTGACTGCGAACATGAAAAATCAGCCGATTACAACACTCCGTCCGGAGGTCCTGACCTCCTTCACGGAGTAACAAGTGAAAAATACATGATACAAATTGTACATGTACTTATTACCTGGAACTTGGAGCAAGTATTCCTAAGGTGTTACGGACATAATTAATAATATATACCAAACGTTTTAACCCAATCATATTTCCCAAACAAAATCACATATTGACACAGCTGAACAAATAAAAATGTGATTATGTCTATAAACTCATACTAAAAAAAAATTTAAGAGACACTCAATAAAGAAAGTAAGAAAGAAAGAAAGCATGCTCTTAATATCTGATTCTCCCAATTGTAAAAGCCCCCACAGCATCCAACCGCACATTCATAGAAACAACATTATATTCTGACACTAGAAACCAATAAATTCGGAAAATTTCACGGTAATGTTTACAAATTAACCTTTTAAAAATACGAGTGAATTTTTATTTCTGTCGTTGCCGAAAAAAATTTTTTCATGCGTGTAATACTAGTACTAGACTATAATCTTGGACGCTTGGATGCTATCTTCACCTTTGACCACATTGTTGGAAGCAGCGTCGGCCATTTTCATTCTGTCTTTCTTCGAGCTGTTTTTTCCGACAAATTTCAACCGTTTTAACATTTTACGGCCTCAGAAACTCATATAACGACGAAAACAAGTTGTAGTTGTTATTTTCATGCGTAAAATTTCTTCTGGGGATGGATTATTTTTCCGCCGAGCCGCCGAAAACTTAGCGTCGCATGCGGTCGGTCGGGCGGCCGGCAGGATTTTGTATCGGCGCGCTTTGCATGTAAACAAGGACAGTCGGAGTTGTTTACATGAAAATTGTGTTGTGAAACGCCAGCGAGGTGTCTGATTTTCTACCAATGAGAACGTTTTCTTTGTGGCATCATGGCGAGATCGACAATTCATCGACAATTCACAAGATTGTGCCGACAATGGGGCCCGATCCATGCGATTAGCGGCTCGATCCACGCAAATTATAGGTGGCGCGCTGCGCCACCTGAGTTTAGGAATAAGTGGCGCCAAGCAAAATCAGGTGGCGCCGCGCCAGTGCGCCACCGGGTATTTCGAGCCCTGATGTATGAACCGTAAAATTTGTATGAATTCTGTCAAATTTGTATGATTTCCATAAAACTTGCATAAATTCTGTAAAATTTGTATGAATTCCCTAAAAATATGTATGAATTCTTTGGCACAGATGATCTTACAGATTCTGAAGTCTTCTTTTTGGCCAAATTATTCCTACTTTTACTCCAAACTTCTGCATACTGCATGTTGACAAACAAAATTTTTATCACGTATAAAATAAAAGAATAATAGGAAGTTTGGGTCTGATTTTTCTGGTTTGTATTGATTCCTAGCATGAATATCAACATCTGCATTAGGGCTTGTCCATGCATTTGCCCAGTTACGTTATAATGATATCAGGTTTGTTATCTGGTTCAGTTAGGCGTGTGAGCTCCCACTGAGATGTGTGCGGGTGACTGAATTTGTCCCAGATTCAAGCTATAAATTGCTCATAAAGGCCTTAGTGCCTGTAACATTCACATTGCTGTTAATAGTCCATGAGGAGGGGCAACAACACCCTTTTCAAAAGTACTACTCCTCCCTGTTTCAGTGTCGGCAGAGCTTTGGTGGCTAATGGATACTCCTCTGGCCAATGATTACAGCTTTGCCACTGTAGGATCTGCTTGGAGATTAACTAACCTAGCTACTTACAGTGAGAACAAATGAATCACTGACTACACATACATTTTTCCAAACATAAGTCCAATTACAAATTGGGTAAGGCCACACCAATTTAATTTCATGGATTTTTCTAGAAAAATAATGGAGCGGGCGGGTGAAAAAAAATAGAAATAAAAACAGGCCTAGGTATCCTATTATGCCCCAAAATGGTACGATAGGAGCCATGCAGTCAACACACCAGGCTGGTTCAAAATTTGAACAATGAATTTTGAACTTTTAATGATACCACTGCATTGAAAGATGGAATAACTGTAACAACTAGGAAGAAAAGGACTGTTTTCAATTGTTCAGGACAAAATATGAGCGTTTTGCTGTTGATTCTGAATTGGTTTTTTTGCAAATCAGAAAAAAATGAAGCGGGCGAATCTGTTAAACAAGAAATCAAATTGGTGTGGCCTAAACAACATTTTCCATCCAAAATACATGTATAAGCTTCTATGCTTTACAGAACTTTAGTTGTGCGTAACAGTTTAATACTTCCTTTATACTATAAGAGTTTAGTTGCAAAGTTTTTGTTTGTTTGTTTGTTTGTTTGTATGTGTGTTTGTTTGTTTGTTTGTGTAAACATACCTGTGTTGAGTCCTGCCTGTTGTGCTGGACCACCTTCCTTCACATGTTTGACAAAGATGGTGTCCATGGGCTCCAGACTACTGATCTTACTGCTCTTCTTCTTCCTGATGCCTCCTGTGGAAGGAACAGGGTCAACACTGTCAATAACCAGTACAACAAAGGTTCTACATTGTATGTCATATAGTGCTGTGTACCGGTTTGCTGGACAGGTTCCGGACTTGTAAAAATGTTTAGGTTCAAGTCCAAAAAAAACTACAAGTCAAGAATCGATTCAGGACTCATTACAAAAAAAACAAAACATGACACCCTTTTCTTTCCAAACCAGCCAAAACCTTCCATACTATTGAAAAACCTGTGCTGCAAAATGAAGAAAACATTGCCATCGGGCATCGTCAAGTGTCGGCTTTCATGTTATGTGGCCAAAGTTTCACCCAGACAACATTGCAAGGTTGCCAACATGCAATTTTGTATATGCCATGGGGTTACGAGTCCGGAACTGAACTTAAACCTCTGGACTTGAATCCGGACCTGAACCTAAATGTGGGTTTAGGTACACAGCACTATGTCACATTTCAACTTGTATGTCGTCCCTTAGACTTTACCAACAATTCCAACAGCAAGACAAAAAAGTGACAATCCAATTAAGGCCACACCAATTTAATTTCTTGGTTCTCAGATTTTGTCAGAAAAAATGGAGCGACAGGGTGGAAAAAAACAGGCCTAGGCATCTTATGATAGCCCAAATGCTACAATGGGAGCCAGAAAGGCAACATACTGGGCTGGGTTAAATGTAACAATGAATTCTGATTGAACTTTTAATCAAACCACCACATTGACACAATGGAAAAACTGTAACAAGTAGAAAGAAAAGGACTTTATTGCATTATTGGGGCCAGAATATGAGCATTTTGTAGATACAATTTTTTTCTTTTTTGCAAATCAGAAAAAAGGAAGAGGCGAATCTGAGAACCAACAAATTAAAATTAATTGATGTGGCCTAAAGGGAAACAAAAATTCAAATAAAATTTTATTTTGTAGTATAGCTACAATGTTGTGCCCACAAAAGAACATATGTGTACGTGTACCCAGTATTTTGAGTGCTGAATTTTCATATCATTTTCACATTTCAAACCTTCTTCCTCCCCAAAT